CTTCTTCTTCACGATCACTGTCAACCACCACCAGGGGACAGATGCATGCTCAAGGAGGAGTGGCAGAGTTCCAAGAAGGACCCCTCCTCTTCTCAGAAATCTTATGAATATCTACTAACATAAATTTTTGACAACCTGGACAGTGTTAGGAGGAGCAATCCCCCATGCACCCAGCGCTGAATAAACAAATACCTATTTAATAGTTACATTGACTATTGAGTTTCTTTATGATGCTTTTCTCGGCATCAATTCAGTGATGAATACATTGAAAAGGCAGAGCTACATTCAAGCAATAAGCAGCATAACTTTTGGAATTTTTGAAGACTGTGCTCAGGACATCTTTAAACTGGAATTGGTCTATCCTTTGCATATTAAGCTTTGCATCTTGCCAGTAAATCCAGGAGTTTATGCTAGTCAGTTTAAAGTACCTCCCAGAAAAACATAAACCAGGACAAAACCAGAACTGTTCCAGTAGTGCAACACCTGATTGATGGCTGCCTTATCTGTGATAGTACCAGTGGTCCCCCCCCCCCCCCCCCCAGCAAAAAATAAAAATCACAGGGCACTATGAGATGACAGTACCATCTCACAGCACATAAAGTCATCTTGTTTAGAAAATAAGTGAGTTCATTTCCCTTAATCTTTTATTCCACAACAAAATAGGTAGCATGCTACAAACTTTGTATAAATTTAAAGGGATTTGGTTTCTTTTTTCTACTGATGAGAAAACATCTGATGTAACTTATACAAGAAAATAATCAAATAGGTCTCAAGAACTAACTAGATGAAGGAAGCGCTTCTATCTTTCATCAGAAAACCACAAACGATAAAAAGACTGACAAGCGTGCTCTCTTTATAGTCGTTTAGACGGGTCATTTTCAGAAATACTTGTTTACTGCTTTTTAAATTAGTTTAGCACTTGTGTGAAAGAAGAAACTAGATTTGCACAAGTTCCTGGTACAGCGATCTGTAACTGATATCAGTCGATTAGATCAGCAATTCGGCTTGCCCGGAAAGGAGGTGGGTAACATCCGTCCTCTAAAGGACGAACATGTCCCGGTGCCTGTCGCTGCGCAGAGAAGGGAGCCTTGGGCCGGTTTTGCGCACCAGAGAAGACTGGGAGGAAGCGGCGGACGAGGAAGATGATGATGACGGTGGCGGCGAGGGGAGCAGCTGTGGGGGAGCGGCAGAATCAGCTGCCTGGCCCGCTACACTGCCTCTCCTGGGGTTGGGAAGGAGCAAAGCCGGGGAGCTGGCCAGGGGGAGGCCCTGGGGGCCGGCCAGGTGCCCTGCCCTGCCCTGCCCAGCCCAGCACATCCCTCCTCTCGCGGGCAGCCCCGCTCCCGCCCTGGCGCCTTCATTAGCTCTAGGGCGGCGGCCGGCGGTAGCGGGGTCGATGGTGGAGGCGCGGTGGTGGCGGCAGCGACAGAAGCGGCGCTGGGGGGTGCCGGTGCTGCTGGTGGTCTATGTAGGCTATGTGGGGCTGGGCGCCGGGGTGCTGCAGGCGCTGGAGCGGCCGGCCGAGGCACGGGCGGCTCAGCATCTCCTGCGGCAGCGCTGGGAGCTGCTTGCCAACCACACCTGCCTGCGGGGACCCGCCCTGCAGCGGCTCATCGAGGTGAGCCCGCGCCCCAAGGGGCCAGCACTGCCGGCAGTAACGAGAAACGAAACCCAGAACTCTTCTATGCGAACACATAACCCTGCGCCGAAGAAGCTGTCCGCGGCGTGGGAAAACCTTTCCGCGCCGCGGGCAGCTTCCTCCGGGCGGGCTCCGGGCTTCACTGGGCTGCTCTCCCGGGGCTTCGACCGCTGAAGAGCTGCCCCGTCCCTGCGGCACCTCCGCAAGTTGCGGCGTTCGCGAATCTTTCAGCGGTGGCCAAACTCCCGCGGTGTGGTGATTACTCGGGGCTAACTGCAGGTGGGTTAGGTCTGGTTTGCAGCTGAGCTCACTCAGAATGAGTTATAGGCTGTGGCACCCTACGAGTGGTAAATCCTAACGGGAAGACTTTGTCGTGGTAAGTTTAACTGGTGTGTCATGACAAGCTTTTCCAGTTTTCTGCTCATTATTTGAAGGGAAATAGAAAATAATTGTAACACTACTTAAAGTATCCTTAAAAACATGTCTGAGGATGTTTACAGGATGGTTCTGAAATGTAAAATATGACTGAATGCAATCTTACTGGAGAACAAGTGTGTGCATTTTATAATACAGATGTGAACAAAGTGAGATAAATGGGTTCTTTCCTTGTTTATTTTCCATGTGAAAAAGAAAACCTATAATATTGAAGTGGCTTCATTATTTATCCAAACCATTGTAGTTCAGTCGATGCTGGTGGTTGAATATGTACTGCTTGCTTTGGTCTATCTGCCTAAGAGAGGTGTTGCCAAACAACAACAGAAAAACAGTGGTTTTTTTTCTGTAAAAGCAGCATTTGGTAGTGGCTGAAACCATAGTAGCTGGCCACCAGAGTTCAAAGGATCTAAAAAGGACTTGAATAAGTGTCCCAAATAGAAAATCTTGTCAGGAGTTCCAGCAAAGACCTGGCAAACAGAATTATGCTGATGAACTATGTCAGGCTCTTATCCCTTGACTTTCTAATGGTAAGTGCTCTGTGGCAGTCAGCAGTATATTGAAGATATTATATAAATTTGGACCCTCATATGCTACCATGGTATCTATTCTCATTATTCATTGTGTGTGCTGCATACTGTGCTAGCTGTGGGATGTAAATAGAAGTAAGAAACAAGTGAGAGAACACCAGTCTGGCACTTCTAAAGGCAGGTCTGAGCTGAGCTTTGTTCTACGCTGCTTGTGGAACAGTGAGTGCTTGACCTGCCTCTTGCCCTGAGATTGGAAGGGTTTCACTTGACGAATGACAGCAATGAGGTGATAGTAGTAGAGAGAAGATAATGATCACACCTGAGTATATAGAAAAGTCTTTCTAATATTGTTCTGATAGTTTGTTTTTCTTTATATACCTCTACTAGTTCTTGATAGTCTCATATGACAGCTGACCAAATGCCTTTAGACCAGGCATTGTTATAATAAGCTATGTGAGTACTTGGTTAGGATCTGAGCAACCCTAGGTGATGAAATTAAAAAGTTTTATTTCATTTTATGGAGTGTCTGTGCATATCTTTGTACTTTGAAAAAAACCATAGTCTGAGTTTGAATGGCTTTGTGTGCTATTTTTAAATAACTTTCAGAGTGAGAAATTAGCCTTAAATATATAACCCACAGGATTGCTTCTCTCCTATATGCTTCTCTAATTTCCTGTGGAGTAATTACTTGGTATTGGAAGCATGCTTTAAATAATGGGAGGTTTTTTCCGTGTGGTACTTTGTTATTGCAGTTGATTCCACATAATTTATCAGGCAGTGTCATCACTGGCCCTCTTCAGATAACAAATTTGTATTCTGAATATGCAGCTGATTATTTGCTAATTAAGAAAGACATAAAGAGTGTCTGTGAAAACATAAAGCAGCATGTGAATTTTAACTGCTTTGACATTCCTGGCAATTCCTCATTGTTTTTTTACTGCTCTTTCATACTTCATAATCCCAAACTCTGTTTAAGTGTATATGGGCCAATGGGGAATAAAATCCCAGTTTGCTAAGCAGTGTACAAATGTCATTTTACAACCTGTTTATTGCTCAGTTCCTAGTTACCAACCAGGAGTGGAAATCCACTGTTCCAGCCCTTTCACAGATAGAGAGCAATAGAGAACTCCTCCTTTGAGGAGCTAGCAGGAGAGAAGGGCATGAGGATGGACAGGAGGACTGGATGGATAGACAGTACTGTAGTAGCCAGAATGAATTCTCATTCAGTAATTTCATGGGCTCAGATCCTTTCAGGGGTGAAATAATTTTCTGGTTAACAACAGAAATGACAGAAGGAAATGGGAATAGTGGACCAACAACAGAAACTGAATGTCAAGGGGGGAGTGTTAGTGTGCAACACCAGTAGTGGTAGGTCCCTGCTTCCCACAGCTGTTTGTTTTTTGTTGCTGGATTTTTTTGCCTGGAACTGGCTGCCTCCTTTCCTGCGGGACGCTGAACAGCTTCTCATTTCCTGAATAGTTGAAGGTAGCGTGTGTGAATGCTTTATGTACAAGCAAACAAAACATGCATGCTCATCTGTTTACTCATACATAAATGTGCATATGGGGAAGACTGACTTCTGTTTTTTCTTGGCTTTCTTTACTTGTTTAGGAAAGGACAACATAAGGGATCACAGGGACTCTGGCCACGTGTCCCTTTACTGTGCATCCAAGTGATATCTACTCAAGGACAATATAAATTTGGTTTTGCTGACCCATCTAACCCTACGCTATTTTTCTTACGCAAACACATGTTCACCAAATGCAAGATCAAGAGAAAACAGCTCCTCAAGAGTCATTAGGCTACATAGAAAGAGGGCAGTGTTGGGCTTTTAGTTATAAATACGATGGTGGTCTTCACATGCCAGAATTACTGACTTTAAGGTCACATCAAAGGATTCTCTTGATCATAAAACTCACAGAAGGAGAAAACAAATGCAATGATAAGGCAGGTTTCAGGTTATACACTCTAAATACAGTAAACAACAGTAGCAGGACTTGGCTCGGGGAAAAAAAGCATGCAACAGTCTTTGTACAGGCAAAACTGATGTTGTTTCCAGATTGGAGAAGCGTCCAGAGAGTAAGGTTGCACATAGAGGGCACTTTCTGTACAGGTCTTGGCTGTAAGAGACATGCCCTCTCTGACCTTTTAGGGGTAGGGGGCACCTAGACACACTACCCAGTGTGATGCCCTTCTACTGCACATATGTCTTGGTTTTACTGCCAAGGGCAAGTATGTATAGCTCTGCTCCAGCTGAGTTGTCCTTCAGACTCTCTCTTTTACCTGCACTGTTTTCAGTGGTTACAGGCACCAGTGTGTACTGTACTTATTAGCATTTCTTTAGTCAGATGAGTGTAGCCAGGCTTGGAAGAGTTTTCGCCGTTTTATGTGTTAGGCTGTTACCATGACATTGTTTTCATGCTGCCCTTCTATTTTTTTGCTATAAATTTATTGTTGTTATATACCTATTTCCCTAATATAGCTGTTTCCTGTGTTTATTATATTGTTCTATCCACATTCTATTATTGTAGGTGTTGCTTGCATAAACTGGAGAAAAGAAAATGCAAACTTAGCTAAATGATTTTTTTAAAATCTAGCAGGTTTTAAAATTATTTAAAATCCAGCAGGATTAAAAAAAAATGCAGTGAAAAAGACATAATTGTAAAGGGCAGGCCATAAACTAAAAGCCTGCAGGTGGGCCTAGACACTGTTATCTCCAGAGTCAACAGTTAGAACTACACAGAGTGTTAGTTCACATTTACTAGAGCAACAAGATCCCATGTGACTGGGAGATCCTCATCAATACCTTGGCTTGCACTGACATTGAACCACCAGAGATTTGTGCCAAGTGTCAGAAAATACAAGTTTCCAAATACAGTTTACTAAAATCATCTTGCTTGCACATGTTGCAGCAGTGGGGGACTCTGAAGGGGTGAGCATCAGAGATCATCTGTTGGTGATAAGGGACTTTTAAGGACTAGAATTGGCTCTGGGTGTTGTGGAGCAGTGACACCTGTATAGAACTCGCTTCAGTCAGATGTCCATTGTGTTGTCACAAATGAAATAGAGTCAGACCCCTGTAATTGTTCTACTTTCCTTCTTATCCAAATGTACTAACTGCTCCAGTTAAGTTATAGCCAATTTGTCATTCTCCAGACCTATTAACTAAAAAGAACTATGGGTACCTTACCAAGAGTGTGAATTCTGTGCTTATCCTATTATAGCATACCTTTGACGGAAGGCGGTAAGAGTCTTTATTCTGCAAGGCCTTAGTCATTTAGTATTCAGTAAGGCAGTTCTTTTTGGAAGGTGAGAAGACCTACTGATTAACTGGTGCTTCTAGTTAATTGACTCTCTCCCAAGTCTTCATGTCGATGTAATGTTAAGTACCTGTGTTTAAAAAGAGAAGGCGGAGAGGAGGCACAGGAGCCTATTATTCATGTACCTCAGCCTAAAAAGAGATGTTCATTGATACTATCAAATTCTCAGTAACAGCTGGTTAGTCTTGGTGGGAAGTTAGAATCATAGAATCATAGAATAGTTAGGGTTGGAAAGGACCTTAAGATCATCTAGTTCCAACCCCACTGCCATGGGCAGGGACACCTCACACTAAACCATCTCACCCAAGGCTTCATCCAACTTGGCCTTGAAAGTTGGATAAGCCAGAGATAAAATAGATAAGGGAGTCAGCAGAAATCCACATCTTCCTCTTGGACTTACTAGTGAGCTTGAACTAAAAGAAGGAATTCCCTGCAGAAGGATGCACAAATGTAGGCTTTGATTTTGTAGTGGGATATATGTAATGATCTAACAAAGTGTGCATTTGCAAGTATTGGCTTATGATAGTCCTAACTGAAACTTCAGAGTTTATGGTTAAGTAGAAAGGAGCTGGAGGCCAAATTTAGGTTTCTAAGGCATGTTTTATCACAAAAGTAACAGGACAGACATCTACATTTAAATAGACTAATTTGAATGGAAGTCATGCTGGTTTTTAATCACTAACTATGATAGTATTTTACCATGCAAGCAGGCTTTGCATGGTGCTAATAAGAAAGGGAACAGTCTATTTGAAAAGCAAATGTGTCAGCTTGCAAGTAAAGTTTCATTGATTCATGAAGGCCTAAGAATTTAAGATATCTTAATTTATCCTATAGTAGCTATAATAGTTTCCATAGAAATTTTTATCTGCAGTTTAAAACAAGCATTGTCAGCTAAAGATGTAGTAGTTGCTGTGAACTGCAAATTATTGGAAGGGGGAAGTGCAGAGAAGTGAAGTTACTTTATGTTGTGTAGCTTGTCTGTCAGTAGAAACTGAAGTGGAACTGAGCTCTGTTTCTTTCTGATTATTTTAACTGCGGACTTGTTCCTTCTCTGTACTACTTTTCAGTTGCTCACATGACCTTTCAAGTTCCCAAAATATGAAGCCCAAGCTCTGCAATTTCAAGAGTTGTGTTTGAGCAGTTGGTGGTATTGACTGGTTTAGGTCAGGCAAATACATGCTTTTGAACACTGGATTTGAGATGCTACTTCTACTAGGTGCCTTTTAATGAATTAGGTTTTGGCGAAGACACTGTATAAATTACTAGCCTAATTAAGTGAAAAGGAAAATCCTTAGGATTTCACCTCAAAATAGGTGTAAAGCAAAACATAAGTCTCTGGTTCTCAAAAAGGCATGCTAAGGGAACCAGGCAGATGTAACAATGTGAATGATTTAGTTTCTCTTTAATAAATCTTGAACCCACAGCCCCAAATACACTTCAAGTGTTTTTTGAAAATAAGCAGTGGAGACCCATCAGTGCCTCTTCAATGGAAAAAGCAGGGATAATTCAGCTTTTCTGTTAGTGTTTATTAGCTTTCTCCTGTGTTCTGTTATAAACCACTTTTAATTCTTCTATGAAAAAGACCACTAGCCAAAAGGAGAAGTCTAGAGGAAAACATTAAATTAAGGCAAGTATACACTGATACCTTCCTGAATGCTCGCTCAGCCTTTGTAATCCAACTGCTTCTGTGCCAGAAGTAATTTCTGTGTATTAATAGCTTTCTATGGATTTCTCTTTCATGAATCCACCTCTATGAGCACATCTGTAGGAAGGCAAGCTCCACTAGTCCTACTGTTCTAGGAAAAATCAATCTTTAATTTTCTATCATCATTGTTGCTGTATCAAAGGTTGGTTCTAGATATTATAATAAAACCTTTTTTTACTTAAGGATACCAGGTTTTAGGTTTTGTCTGTCTCCTCTATGAATCCTCCTCTTTAAGGATGTCGCAGTAGCATTTTCATTCTAACAGTAAATGAACTTGTGTTTCTCCTGGGAGTGTCTGTTTATTCAAGTGGCTTTGATTTGCATGAGTATGCAATGTTCCCGGAAAGGGGCTTTGCCAGGTGCCCGTGAGCCCAGTAGTTAATGCTGTTATCTGGATGTTTGATTACAAGGTTTAACAAGGCTTAGTTCAGAAAGCTCTTGAAAACCTACTGCAAAAATGCTATAAATGCTTCAATCCCAGACAGAGGAAACAGCTGGCGTGCTGCAAGCTCAGTGCTCGCTCTTTGCCAGTGAGTAACAATACCTTCCTTCTCATTGAGATCAGTGCAGGATCACCACAGCATTTAGTGCTACTACTTTAGCCTACCTACAGATTCTTAAGACAAATGCTGTACTTCCTGGCTGTAGCGTCACCTCAGGGAAAGTTGAGACAAGGACTCTGAGATGCTGTGCTGTTAGAAATCACTGCAAAGCTGACATGGGTGCTTACAGCTGAGCAGTCTCTTGGTCCTAAACCATGCAGAACTGAAGTGTGAAATGATGTGAAATTTAATGACCTGGTTGCTGCTGCTAGCTTCTCACACGATGTCTTGTACAGGCTGCTTATTTCCCCTTTCTGCATGAAGAAATTCCCATTTCTTTGAGCCCATTCAGCTACAGTTTCTTACAATAGTCTGGGGTTTAAGTGTTTCTGGCTTTAAGAGCTTGATATGCGTGTGTAATATTGTCAACTGCTGAGCTTGTATCAGCAGCACATCAAGCACAAGAATGGACATGCTATATGTGTGCATTAGAGTCTCCCTGATCAAGATGATGAGAGCTGGACTATTGCTGTTCCAGCAGTTACATGTTCAAGACTAACCACTTAGAACAGTGTAGATCATAGGCTACAGAAAGAAAGTTTGAGAGAAATAACAAGCTTTTTATTTTCAAACTTAACCACTAGTTTCTGGAGGGGAAAAGATAAAGGTCATCTGTATAAGTTTCCGTTGTCTCCTTTGACATATGATTTAGTTAGGGAGTTTTTATGTTCATGGAGACTGTGATTCCTGACTAGGCGATTGGCTGCAGTACTTCTTGCACTTAGCCTGTAAGAAGTGGGGTTGGAAGGGGGAATTAAACACAGCTATATCAGAAAAAGTCACACCAGAGGCTTCCTGATACAGCCTTTTCAACTCTTTTTTTTTTTTTTTTTTTTTTTTTTTTTTTTTTTTTTTTCAGGTGGGGGGAGGCAGGGGCAAGTTTGATTCTTTCATATCACTTATGCTGCATACTCATTCTTCTGTCCGTTGCCCCACACATGTTACAGCAAGAATTCACAGAAGGAAGCAAGCCGTAATACAGCATCTGGCCCTTAGCCCTTTTCAGAGCAAGGTTTTTCTGCTCTACCTTGTGCAGAGAAAAGCATGTTGTTAGGCTTTAATAGATTGTAAGGTGACCCTGAATGGTCTAAATTGCCTTGAGTTGTGAGTAAGCAAAGACATTTCTGAGAATGCGACTATCAAACAGCATTTCTTACTTGAATAAATGCATTGATCTCTGAGCTGCTTGTTGCTTTTAATGTGAGAACTAGTACGTCTGTAGAAAAGAGATAATGGTCCTTGTAGTTAACGTGCTGCCTGGGTCTCTGGAAATAGATTTTAATTCACAGCCCTGTATAATAGTAGTAACTTACAGTCTGTTGCATCAGTAAAATTGGACAAAGCTTCCATGCTTTGGAGGCCTGAAGTGTTGGTTTGCTTTTGATGGATATACAAACTATGACTTTGTAAATCCCGCAACTGGTGCAAATCTAACCTGACAGCAGTTCCTTTTATTATCAACGGTGATAGCTTTATCAGCAGCCTTATTGTTAGGATAGGGTTAGCATAATTTGATATCTGCATATCTTGCCCAGAGGTGATGAATTTTATGTATTCTTGGCTACAGTTTGCATTCCAGGATAATCAGCTCTCAAAAATTCTTCGTCAGTGAAATGTTTAGTGTACATGCTGTGATTAATGCTGTTTTGAACACAACTCAATTCAATATCATTAATGGCATGAGAAGGTATAGTCAGATAGTGGGCACTGTTAAGACAATTGGTATCCTATTTTGGCATAACTGAACACTTCAGCATAGTGAATTCTGAATTTTTCCGAGGTGGATTGAACAGATTTGGGCATCATGCTAATATAATCCATTAATTCATATTTATATCCCTGATGTGGGGACATAATGCTCAGTACTAGTGGAGCGGCCATCCTGTGTAGTCTCCATCTCCTACCTCATGCTATATACATATACCTCAGTGTAGACAGAGGATCTGTATAATTTACATGTGCATGTGTATTTGCTGTTCTGGGACTTCTGCCATGAGACTATCCCATTCTTTTCCTAATGAATATGTCATAAGGTAGTTCTCGTAACTAACTGGCTAAGTTTTCTCTAAGTAGCTCTTGCCCTCCCATATCTTCCACGCTTACTTGCATGACCTACCATCTGCATGTACAACTTTTTCTTACGCTGTAAATGCCTAGTGCTCTTTCCTTAGGAACAATATGCTGGCTTTCGGCTTTTCTGACCTCTCAGTTCTTTGGACTCTAAGGCCCAGGATATCCCCTATTAAAAGGGAAACGACAGAGCTGGAAGTAGCCGCTCTTTGCAACTTTACCAGACAGCGCTGGAAATGCCAGTCACTCAGACTTGCCATAAGGGGGCTTGTGGGATCTCATGTATTTCTCTTTGCAGGGTATTGTCCAAGCCTACAAGAGTGGCATAACCCTCCAGGGAAACACCACTAGCCTGGGCAGGTGGGACTTCAGTGGGTCTTTCTTCTTCTCCATCTCTGCAATAACAACCATTGGTAAGAGTTTGCTGCATGAAGGGCTGCCTTATAGGTGGGATGGGAGTGGGAATGAGGATGTGTACTATCAGATGCTGATCTGGTCCTGTGGGGCCTCATGTAGCTTGATAGATCATAGAGTAGGTAAGCAACCATAAACCTAGCCCCAGAAAAGCTTTGTCAGTGCAAGGGCAGTAGTGATCTCTAACTAGATACAGGGATTAATTGCTTGGTACATACCCCTACTAAGTTACACAGCTTTTGGGGCCTGAACTTCACAGTGCTGCACTGCCTGTGCTTTCCCAAGCCTAGTGCTCTCTGAGAGTTTTGAGGTGAATTGTGCATTGCAATGCGCCTTTCCTGTCACAAGGAGAGGGAATGACTTTGAAAAACTCTTGATACTGGCTGTTGAATCCTTGGAGACTATATTTGTAAATTATTCCTTCTTATTACTACTTGTTTTGGATGAAGACCTGCTTGTATAGGTGAAAGTCAAAAAGCTAGATAAATAAAACAGCTGAATTGGGTTTCAGCAAATGAGTAATGGTGGAAATAAGTGGTGGGGAGAGAATGGAAACAATAAGGTATATTTAAATATGCTGTTACTTAAAACAGATGCTATTAATTCTCAGTGTATGTTCCCAGTCCTCAAAACCATTAATACTTGACAGGACATCTTTTTCTTACTGCATGGCTCAGTTTTATAAAAAAGCGGGGGGGGACGGGACACAACAATGTGGAGAGATGGTTGTTGGATATCAAAAACCTTCCTGATTTGTCTTCAATCTGTCAGATCCCTTCAATTTCAAGTACAGTTTTAGATCAAGAATTTTCTCTGCCCACCCATGTGGAGCATTCTTTTGATTTCTCTTACCGTTGCTGAATATACGTTGACTTCAGAGCATTAAGCCTCCAGACAAGAGGTCAGAGAGAGGGTTTGTGTTTTTTTTCTGGGGGCAGAGGGCGTGCTACCTTCCTTTGACTCGGTGCAGCTTTCGGCCCTGCTCTTTTGCGCATGTATTGCTCGGGCTGGGAAGTGTTTGGTGTATTGTATGGGTTGTACCAGATGATGGCAGTGGAGGCTCATTAGACAGGGCTACACTGGCTGTGGGTTTCCAGCTTCGAGCCGGGGTTTTCCCTTCCAGTCTTCAGTGCAAAGCAGCATCTGCTCAGAGCTGCACTGCATGTTTCAGTAAGTTAATCCTTCAGTATCTAAGCTGTTAAAGTAACTGCTTTCCGCAACAGATTTAGGTTAATGACATTTGGGAAGAATCAAATTTGTCATCTTACAACACAAGAGGGTTTTGTGATGTTGGCAGATACCTAGCCTAAACATTTCTGGGTGTTGCCCCATGAAAGCCTAAGCTGTTCTTTCTTAAGTTCTTTAAATAAACTCCATACCCTGATAGCTGGGGGATGACAATGACTGACTTGATAGGAGGGGCAAATAAAAAGAAAAAATTTTGCAGCTCTCCATATCATGGCTTTAAAGCTGATACTGTGACTCTAGGGACTTGTTCATGATTGTTTGATTGTGGACTTGAGAACAATATACAAGTCACCTCTATGAAGTGAACATCAGACAGCTGGGTCCCAGATCTTGCTTTTTCAAGTTAAATTGCTAAATGGATACAGGTTAGTGTCTCAATACTCTGTCAATAACAGTATGTTGAAGAGGAAAAATCGAGATGGCCTCACAGAGCCTCACCTCGAGCCTGTTACCTCTTCCCTTATGCAAGTTCTTGAGACAGTGGGTGGCACAGCCTCCTTGACCCAGCCATCACTGGATGGCTGAGGAAGGATAACTGATGATGTACGTCAAGTAAAGAGAAAAGGTCCTTAACTAAGAGCTCAAAGTTCAGAGGAGTGATTCACAATATGGAGCTTCATGTAAAAGGCATGGCTATTGGGTAAATTACATAGTTGAGAGTGTTTGAGAAAGGTTTGTTGAGGTTTTTGTGTCCTTATGTGGCAAGGAAGAGCTTAGTCCAGTATATAAGTATGGAACCATTGAAAGCAGGTCACATTTCTCAAGATTAATGCATAGGAGTTAAAAAGGCATTCTGGCAAATGAGTTCAGAAAGGATTGAGTTAAAATGATAATGGAGAAAAGTGTCTCAGGAGCTTAGGGGTACTACATAAAGATTTTGTTGAAGAATCTGGGTGGACTGTACTCCATGTGTTTAGGCAGTTGCAAGTCCTATGTCCTTTTTGTCTCTTCAACATTCTGTCTCTGCAACTAATGCTATCTGTGTCTTGCTGACCTCTTACATGATGCACATGATCTTTGTGGCTTTTGCATGAGCTTTTTTTTCCTTAGTTTTCTCAAACAGCATTGCCAAAGCCATTATCGCTTTTACCCTCATCACTTCCCTTTGAGATGCCCTTTCTGATCTGTCAGCTTCTATTTTCTGCTTTAGGTGCTTTAACCCCCTTCAGAAGGCTTGGTGTGTTTCTTCAGTTCTTAACAGAGCACAGTTTCACTGGGATATGGAGGGGAATGTTAGCTACTTTCCCAATTAACACCAACTGAGGAACATTAGCTTCTTTTCCTACTGACAGTTTGAGCCCCCATGTCTCATCTTGCAGTATCTTCTGTGCTGTACCCTTCTTCCATTTAAATGAGAGTATCATCTATTTCCACTTGTGATTAACAGCAGTATGTAAATTTTGCTTAAAAAAAAAGAGTTCTAACCTGAAGGCTGGGCACACTTGGCACCCTAATCCCAAAGGTTTAAAGAACAGACATGTATGAACCAAATCTGCTGTTTACGGAAGTATCCCAAAGCCTGTGTAGTTTCTAGCCAGTCTTATAATTTGAATAGAACTGCATTTTTAACTTTTGATCATGCAATTGGGCAGCCCTGGCCTTCTGCGGATTTATTCTCCCCCTGTTGTGTTTCTGTGCTTTCTTCAATGCTGCATTTGACATGACATCCCAGATCTCGTATGTTATCTCTTTTTCTGCAGATGTTTCCATAGGAACCCTCTCTTCAATGCCATGAAGAATCATCCTCAGAGTTCCCCTAGAGCTGTAGTATTAAACATGATTAAAGAAAAGCTTATTTTCTGTTTTCTCTCTGGGACATCTTTATCCCTTCCAACACAAAGTCTTTCCTTTCTGTGTTTACTCTCCTCCTAGTTAGTTTAGACTAACAGGGCAAAGGTCAAAGCAAGTTCAGAGTGGGGCACAAGATGAAAGTTCCTAAAGTCAAATGACTACAGGGCGGTGTAATTTCAGAGAAGGTGCTAGGGAGAGGATTTATGATGAGGCTGAGGTTGTCTGTGCTAACCTAAGAGTAGAAGAAAAAGTATTGTCCTCTCTAGCCTGAACATCCCCCCTCTATCTTGGGTGGGTGGATGTCATTACCTAGTGCTGCCTTACTGTTCCCTGATACTTAGCAAAGCTCATTTGCATGAATTTCAAAGACCCTTTTTTAAACACAATATGGGACAAGTAAACTATCTTATAGTGAAGAAATGAAGGGGAAGACCTTACTTCCATCCTTTTCTTCTCTGGTTTACACAGTATCATAGCTCCTGCCAATAATCCCCAAAGGATTGCGCGTAGCAAAGAGGCAAGGAGCAGTCTATAGAGTGGGAGGTGGTATTTAGTACATTGTCACAGACATGCTGCCACAGATGATTCCCATGAGGGGAAAAAAACAACAGCTACTTAGGGTGGTAAAGTCCTGGCACAGTGTAGGGCTTTGGGCCAGCAAGAGTTTCTCTAAGACTTGACTATCTGTAGTGCTGCATAGCATGTGATGGAGCAACTAAGAAGCACCCAGGCTGCTGCACATTGCTGGCTGGCAATCCACTGGGAAATGGATTTAAAGCAACTTGATGTCTCAGAGTAGTTAAAGCATGGAATAACAGCCTAGAACTGCTTTTAAATCTGCTGTGAACCTCAGGTTTGTGGAGGGGAGCTCTCTGCTGAAGAGCCCCACACCCTTGATGTCTTTTCCCTGCCTGTGGCAGCTGGCAGAGCTGCTCTACAGCCTTGCCCAAGTGGGAGGTGGCACAATGGTCCATGAGAGGTTATTAGTGGATGTGGGGATAACACTGTCAGCAACATCCTCTAAGCTGTCTCCTTAGCACTGGTGAATTTGATCTGCTTTCCTGCCACCTCATCCTCTTGAGACTAATTCTACAGCTTCCAGTGTATACACAGTACAAATGTAACAAATAAAAGACTGCAGTGCTCACCCCAAGCAGTTTTCTGGCCTTTCACTCACAAGAGTGTGCAATCAAATTTCGCTGTTGCCTGGAACTTCATAGGGCTAAAACTGTTAAATAACTCTGTTCAAATGTGTGTTTTCAGCCTAATAGTGTTAGCTATTGGTCTCTACTTCATCACTGCACCAGCTAAATGAATAGCTATGGCTACCTTCCACACAGACCCTGGATCAACCTGCCAAGGTACCAATGAGCTTCCCCATATACGACACAGTCCATGAGATTCTGCTACCACTGCTTTTAAAATAAACTGGGTTATTTTTGTTGGTTCTAATCATAAAACCGAGATGCCAGTTCAAATACTGGGGCTGTTTGGGGTTTCAGAGTCCTGTTTCTGTGTAGAACAACTGAGAGGCCTCAGCAAAGTCACCGTCCATGGATGATGGAAACAGCTGTGACTTCCCATAAGATGTGTTCTGAGCTCAATGGCTGTGTCCAGCTGACAGGTATGAGAAAGAGTTCACCAAGATCTCCCCAAAAATGTGCTTGTATGCTTAAATCACCAAAAAACTGGTTAGAAAAGTGATGCTTCCTCCAGCCTTTTTGTAAATCTAATTCTGTTTTTTTTTCCACAGCTAAAATTATTTGGTGACTTTTCAGATGGTTTTTAGCCTGTGAAAAACAATTTCTTCATTCTAAGCACTTTTTGCTTAAAATACTCTTGCATCTGGGCAGTGAGAACAGGAGGCAAACAAACCACCCATTGTGAGTAGCAGGAAGTCCCAGTTGCCTCTGCTGAGCTGGGGGGCACTGCAAGAAGGATACCACCTTGCAAATGAAGAGACCTTTTACTAATAATCCATTAACCACACAAGTCTCCTCCTCTTAGCAGAGCCTCTGAATTTCTTATGCATAGGAATATAATGAGCAAGCAGGAGAAGACTTAATGTGTGTAACAGCACATGAGGTAAAACATCTAGAAATATGAACATTTAGAAGTAAACCACTCTTGTTGCTTCTGAGGAAGATTAAGTTACTTTGCACTTTTTTTCAAAGTGAGGAGCAATACAAGCATTTACTCCAGCTTCTTCAGTAAAAATGCTTACACTTTGACCTCTAAGTTTCTGGTGAGCATCTCTCTGTGTCTCTTGGTGCAGGCACGTACTAGGTGACATCCCAGTAGCAGGCTCAGAGGGATGTGACACACCTACCAGTGTAGCTTTAATCTTTGCATTAGATCTGAACCAAGTTCATAGAACACAATGGTATAAGACACTGATTACCCTCATTCTATTTATTGGAGAGGGTAAGTCCCATTTACCCGTTCCTGCTTGAGTTTTATAACATTTGAGATTTATATAAAACTAGGTTGACATCCATTTGTCTAGTCCAAAATCAAAGGGGTGTCATCAGTCAGATGTCAATTGCTGACTATGTTGCATGATCTAAAGTCTTCTGTGCTGTTTGACCAAACTTTGTAGCCTGTGTAAAAAGCAAGTGGAACATGGCTTTTTGCCATGTTTACAGCAACTGCTCACTAAGTCTTCAGGAAATTGTCTTGAGCTACTAAGCCCAAGGGGAAATGGAGCCAAACAAATCAAACACCATGTCTGCTTTGCACATGGTGTGCTGGGCTTACTGTGCATATTAGACCTTCTTACATCACTGAATTTGCTGCTCTAAAATAGATGTAATGTACAGCTTGACCTTAGATGCTCTCCAGTTAGCACTGTGCAGGGTCCTTAAAATTCTGAAGGCTGCTGTGCTTCACACAGTGACCTGAGATTATGGACCTTTCTTCCTCTCTTATCTGATGTTTTTCTCCAAAAATAACCTGGAAAGCTGTGGGTAGAATGAACTGCCTGAGCCATTACACAATCTTTTTAAATTAGATATAGAAGATAGGGGAAGAATAGCTGCTGTAAATATATGTGACTCACATTCGGACTCCAGCCTCACAGTAAACGCCCCCCACCTCTTTCCCCTGAGTCCAGAGCAGCCTGCAAAACACCTTCATTCTGTAAAAGAGAAAGACTGGAATTAATCCACTGAAATGTGGCACAGCCAGTGTGAAACAAATCATACCAGGTACATATCTCTTAAATTCACTTAGATAGGTTCACCTACCAGACGTACTTGCCTGCATGTGCATGGATGGAGTTTTGAGCAATCTGGTCTGATGGACTGTGTATCTGCTCATGGTAGGGAGGCTGGAACCAGATGATCTTTAAGGTCCCTTGTAACCCAAACAGTTCTATGATCTGTGCCTTTCATTTATCACACCCGCTAGTCTAGAAGTAGTGAAAGCTGACAGAAGTCAGCAGTTCCACATGGGGAGAAGAAAAGTGTGTAAATATCACAAAGTTGTTCATAAGTGAAGAACATGGCACTGGAATAAAAGCTGCTGTACAGTCTTAATTTAGCCCCTTTGTTTGACACAAACAAAGTGTTTCAAAACAACCTCTAGTTATGCAACAGCATCCCATTTTTTCCAGGGGATGCTCTGCCCCCTCTTGGGACAGGCTGCTAGGGCCATCGCTTTGGATGTATATTATGTGTTATCATTTACATTAAATCCATGGGCTCACAAATCATTCAGGCATAAAATTATTGGAGGGAAAGTCCTCCAGATAGTAAAATTTTGAATTTGTGGGGTTAGGCATGAGATGAAAAAACAGCCAGCATACATACCGTGAAACAGTTTGCTGCCAGACCTTTTCTGGAGGTAGTTTGACGGTGCATGTGCACAATTAATGTTTTCAGAATTGTCCGTAGGGAGAAATTCTGTCAGCACAAAGCTTGGCACAGAAAATATAGACATCATAAGCTCATAGTCACTATTCTATAAGTGATAAACTAGTGACTTACTGCAACTGGCGTGAGACAGTTTAGTGAAGGAATGGGACTCCATTTAATCAACCACAGATGTTTGCAATCTCACTTATCTAGCATAAGAAGCCCAGCTCTTGGACCTCTCCCTCCTGGGGGTTGCCCATTTGCCCTAAGACTACACCACCTACAAGCATGGTAGGAAGGCATCAGTGGCGGGAGCCCCTCTGTGCTTGCACTGAGCCAAGAGCTGGGTGTCACTGGGAGGGGATAGATTATGTGTGGCGAAAAGGTAAACTCTGACAGATTGTCAGCCTTATGTATGGACATACACAAGTCTCTAGTGAGTAGAGGTGATTTTGAAATGCAGTCAAGGCCATAGGCTTTGGCTAAGTTTCTGTTGATATGCTTGTCATGTGCTAGCCCTTTCCCTGTCTTAAAAAGTGTCCTGTGAAATAGACCAAAATTGAACCTGATCTTCTGGTGGTATAAACCACTTGAAATTACAGAAGTGCAAGTGTGCAGATTTACAGGACATTTTTAAAAGAAGATATGGGGAACAAAGGTAAATATTGCGGCAGTGATGTTGAAGGTGTAATGGTCTAAGGATACAAGCAAGGCTGTGATTGCAGGACAGTACCTTTATTAGACCAGTTCATATGATTAGGAGAAAAAGGGCAACATTTCAAGCGCTTCTTTTTCTTTCTTTCTATAGGTCTGAAACCAAAGTGTTTTACTCAGATTAAATATAATTTCTCTGGGTTTACTGACTCTAGGCAAACATTTTGATAATTTAAGGTTAAAGTGTGTTTGGTACTTGTGGCACAAAAGAGGCATATAAACAAAGAGGCAGTGTTAAGTTAATTAATTTTGTGGGACAAAGGTAGAAAAAGGTGGTTGTTATAATGAAAACACTATTGTGATTCAGAGACCATCTGACAGCCACATAGGTTCATTTACCAGCAAACCCTATGCCAACAATGCTTACAAAAACTGAACTAAATGGAAGTTTTGCATTTACGTCAGACCCCAGCCAGGACAGTGGATAGGGAAGAGGAAATTGACTGGTAAATGGGAAAGGAACTAAGCAAAATTGGCAGGGAAAGAAATGTTATTTTCCAACATGCAGTAGGATATGGCAAACAATAGATGTAACTTAGTTATTTACAAAAAAGGTCCTTTTTGGAGCAGTGACCTTCTCCTCTAACTTTTGTAGAAGATAGAGGTTCACCCTTCTGTGGGAGAAGGGCAAGCAGAGAATATTTTAGCTTTAACACCTCATTTATTTCCTGCTTAGGCTATGGGAACCTGAGTCCCAGCACTGCAGCTGGTCGAATCTTCTGCATCTTGTTTGCACTCTTTGGGATCCCCTTGAATCTTGTACTCCTGAATGAAATTGGGCAGCTGATGCTGTTGGGGGTTCAGCATTGTAGCCATCGCCTAGAAGAGGCATTTCATTTGCAGGTAAGCTATATGGATAGGTATGCCTCACCCTCAGGTTCAGGAAAGAAAAGAAAGAAAGGTCATTGTCTAGTATTTGGGATTCTGTGACTAACAAGGACAGCTGCCTTCCTATTTGGCCAAAAAGGCAGTAATACTCAGGAATAACTGGAAGCAGATAAATTTAGTTTATGACAGCCCTATGAGGTGTTAGATAAGGTTGTTTATTAATTGAGGGAACTTCTGTGATGAATGGCTTCCTGTACAGGAACAGAAGTGCCAGAGGCCTAGAGCCACTCAATAGACCAGAATATCTGGTCTGTTTATCATCAGTTGTAGTTAAAATTGCACATGTAAGTTATATGGGAACATTTGTGAAATGAGCTTTAAACTGGCATGAATTTAGGACTCATGAAGGTGATGAGCTTCACATGCACTTCAGTCAATATGAACTCATGAAGTTTATGTTGACTGGAAGAGCCACACTGTTTATTCTAGTGGAACTACAATCATAGAACAGTTAGGGTTGGAAAGGACCTTAAGATCATCTAGTTCCAACCCCCCTGCCATGGGCAGGGACACCCCGCACTAAACCATGTCACCCAAGGCTCTGTTCAACCTGGCCTTGAACACTGTCAGGGATATGGAGCATTCACAACTTCTGTGGGCAACCTATTCCAGTCCCTCACCACCCTTACAGTAAAGAACTTCCTCCTTATATCCAATCTAAACTTCCCCTGTTTAAGTTTGAACCTGTTACCCCTTGCCCTATTGCTATAGTCCCTGATGAAGAGTGCCTCTCCAGCATCCTTGTAGGCTCTCTTCAGATACTGGAAGGCTGCTATGAGGTCTCCACACAGCCTTCTCTTCTCCAGGCTGAACAGCCCCAACTTCCTCAGCCTGTCTTCATACAGAGGGTGCTCCATTCCCCTTATCATCCTCATAGTCCTCCTCTGGACTTGTTCCAACAGCTCCATGTCCTTATGTTGATGACACCAGAACTGTGTGCAATACTCCAAGTGAGGTCTCATGAGAGCAGAGCAGAGGGGCAGGATCATCTCCTTCGACCTGTTGGTCATGCTCCTTTGGATGCAGCCCAGGGTATGGTTGGCTGTGAGTGCACGCTGCCAGCTCATTCTAAGGTTCTCATTGACCAACACCCCCAAGTCCTTCTCCGCAGGGATGTTCTGAATCTCTTCTTTGCCCAACCTGTAGCTGTGCCTGGGATTGCTCCAACCCAGGTGTAGGACCTTGCGCTTTGCAGGGTTAAACTTCATAGGGTTCATAAGGCTCATAAGGCATGTTCAGGTTCTTAAAATGGTCTCAAACCAGATCCTCTCCTACAGTGAGCCTAAAGTCTTCATTCTCACAGTCCCTGCGTCTGCCTTCCAAGACTTGGGTGGTGTGGTCAGGGCATTTGCCAGTGAAGACTGAGGCAAAGAAGTCATTAAGAACCTCAGTCTTCTCCAAATCCAGGGTAGCCAGTTCTCCCGATAGCTTCTGGAGAGGGCCCACCTTGTCCCTAGTCTATCTTTTATTTGCAATGTACCTATAGAATCCCTTCCTGTTATCTTTCACCTCCCTAGCCAAGTTTAATTCTAACTGAGCCTTAGCTTTTCTAACCTGGTCCCTACCTTCCCAGACAACATCCCTGTATTCTTCCCACGCCACCTGTCCTTGCTTTCACCTTTTATAAGCCTCATTTTTCCTTTGAAGTTTCCTCAGTAGCTCCTTATCCATCCAAGGAGGTCCTCTGGCCCTCCTGCTGCACTTCCTTCTAGTCAGGACACAACACTCCTGAGCTTGTAGCAGGTGATCCTTGAATATCAACCAACAGTCTTGGGCCCCCTGCCCTCTAGGGCTGTATCCCATGGAACCTTACCAAGCAAGTTCCTGAAGAGGCCAAAGTCTGCTCTGTTGAAGTCCAGAGCAGTGAGCTTGCTGCATGCTCTTCTCACTGTCCTGAGGATCTTGAACTCAATCATTTCGTGATCGCTGCATCCAAGGCTACCCTGGAGCGTCACATTTCCAACAAGCCCTTCCCTGTTGGTGAGCACGAGGTCAAGAATGGCACCTCTCCTTGTCAGCTCCTCTATTACTTGCAGAAGGAAGTAGTCTTGCACACAATCGAGGAACCTCCTGGATTGCTTATGCCGAGCCATACCATCCCTCCAACAGATAGCAGGGTGGTTGAACATCATGAATGTCTGTGTGTTTTTATGGAGTCTAGCATAATCTTCAACCAGAAACTGACCTGGACTTTCCTTGACATTCTTCTTGTGACAATCTCTTCTTTTTTCTCTTTATTTTTCTTTTTATCTCCCTGTTTTACTAGAAAAAATCTTCCCTGCTGATTAAGACCTCTGCGCTGGTGACTGGCTTGTTATTGTTCCTTCTCCTACCTCCCTTGTTGCTCTCTGACAAAGAAGGCTGGTCTTATGAAGAAGGCTTCTATTATTCCTTCATTACCCTCAGCACTATAGGGTTTGGAGATTATGTGATTGGTGAGTAGTTTGCATTTCATTGCTTTCACCTGTTAAACATGAAAGCTACATGTGTGAGGTATGAAGGTCCCAGCTTGGCAGTTTTACACCACTAGCAAACCACAGACCTGATGATCACAGAATCATAGAACAGTTAGGGTTGGAAAGGACCTTAAGATCATCTAGTTCCAACCCCCCTGCCATGGGCAGGGACTCCTCACACTAAACCATGTCACCCAAGGCTCTGTCCAACCCAGCCTTGAACACTTCCAGGGATGGAGCATTCACCACTTCTCTGGGTAAACTATTTCAGTGCCTCACCACCCTAACAGTAAAGACAAATCACAGTCAATGATGTGTTGTGCTAGGCATTTGACAGGTTGGAGAAGACATGATTGCTGAGATAGCAAAGAAATAATTTCCCAGTCAATGAGTAATATTTCAGTACTCAGGTTATCTGCCCCTTGAACAACTGTAACACCAGACTGGAGCACTACATTTTTCATGGCACCGTCACTGATGGCTCACTTGGTGTGCTCCAATGTCAGCGGTGGTTAGTTTTAAGCAGATGTCACTCTGCATCAACATTAGCAGACAGTGACTGCTTCCTCTGTCAAAACCCCTTTTTTGGACAATTGCTTTCTAAAAGGCAGCTTAAGTCACTTAGGTGTAGACTGTCAGGCACCAGGCACAGCCTAGTTTTAATTGTCAAAACCCTTTGCCAGAGGAAATGGGCTTGGATCTACTCCCAGTGCACAGGACACACCTTTCTGATAAAGACTTTCTCATTAGAAACAAATTGATTAGAGAAACACATGTATCCTTGAATCCCTGGGAGACAAAAAGACTAAAATATCTTACGTCTTGCACCTAGCAGTGTCTGTGGATAAAACATTCTCCTTGAAAGACCCAGATATCCCTTCTTTCTTGTTTTCATTTATTATTTAGATGCAAGCAATTTTAAAACCTTTGAATTTAGCATCAGTGAAAGATGTTTGTTTGAAGGATGAATATAATACTTTTTCTGGTTGAAGTTCACCTTGATGTAGAAAGTCAGCCCAGAGAGTAGTTACTACAGAAGTATTTGGTAGCTCCCAGACATTTATCTGTCGTTTGCTGACAACATCAAAATGTTTTGTGCTCCCTTTATATTGAAAACACATACAATATGTACTATATTAAATATAATAATACCAAGTAAATGACTGTAAAAGATTGGCTGTTTCCTATGGCTCTGCTGACCAATTATTACTTATCACAATCTTGTAGACAATAACAGTTCATGGACCACAATTTGGGAATGGCTAGTCTGTGCAGATAATGACAGATGATTTATCATCCTGCAGATGATAAATCTGCAGATGATAAATACCTAAACACCAGCTTTTATATGGATGTCCCATTTCAACCCACCCCTATGTGTACTTCTTCACTGGCATGTGGTATGGGAAGTGACTTCCAGGTTCATGGAGGTACCACCTCAAAAAAGTCAACTCCTTCTATTCTGTCCCAAAATTATCAGGTGTTCTGTAGTATCTGCTGTGCTGTAAGTATTCAGCTATAAAGTGACAAACCCTCCAAAGGTAAGAACTAAATAACAATACCTGAGAAGCACTAGAGGAAAATCCTATGCAAAGACTTTGCTGCCACTGATTTGTATTCTGTGTCTTATCTGTGTTTATAAGGGTGCCCCAGCCAGCTTTACAGATACAGCCCAGTCACTTCATAACACTGAGCTCATTCCTTTGCTCTGCCTATATTAATATTACTACTGACACTAACTTAGTACATAGAAGATTCTTTGCACAAACTATTGTGAAACACAGCCAAAAATATGATTCTGCTCCAAAGGGATCACAAAGCACCTAATGGAGCAGCTGGGCAGAGGTATCATAATTTCAGGCTGTCTTCCAAGGCTTAGCTGTTCTTGGAGGTTTTGGGACTGCTCAGCCCCCTTCCCTTCTGCTCTTAAAGACTCACTTATACCTGGCTTAACAAAATACATACACTGGTACATAAAACCCACTTAGCTCTCTGCCTGCAGAGGACCTCTGTTACATACTAATATAATATTGTGATGATGAAATGAAAATGGGAAATGAAACTGTGTGCTTAATTGTGAATAATTTCACTTTGACACAGATGTAATCTGGGATTTATTTTTCTTTCTTACAGGTAATCTTTACAATTCCTAGGTAGTCCTAGGTTGTTGCTGCCACATTCATGAAACATGCTTGCATCATCTGTTTGCATGCTAAATAGACGGCATACTCATGTTTTATACAGAATCACTAATACTAGGTCATATTTCCACTGTCCTTGCTTTACATGTAGTATTTGTCTCCTTTGAGGCACTCTTGATCTAATCTAGAAATGTTTTGGGTGATTCTCTTGTAGGGATGAACCCAGACCGTACCTACCCAGGCTGGTACAAGAATGTAATCTCTCTGTGGATCCTCTTTGGGATGGCCTGGCTAACACTGGTTATCAAACTTTGCATCAACTTTCTAGAGAGCTCCAGTGACTTCTGTCAGTGCAACAAGAGCACGGTAGAAAAGTTCATGGATGGCAACAGAAATAGTACAAAGGGACTTCATGATGTAGAGATCTGCAATGACAAAGACACAAAAACAAAAGGGCCAGATGAACCTCACACCTACACAGCTCCTGCAGAAGCACTCTAGGGAAGAATCATATCCTTGGTGTCTCCTAGGTTTTAGTGCACCAGAGATGCATCACTTAGATATTTGGGAACAGAACTGCCCTGATGTTCACATGGGGTAAAATCTTGCTTATTGAACTTGAAATACTTCTATTCTGAATAGAGTGGTGACAACAAAATATTTCATTTGCAGCACCACTAAGAATTACCAATGGGAATCAGCCAAATCTTAGCCAAAAATAGATATTGTCCAACCTCCCATCTCAATATATGAAGCAAACTTTGACATCCATATGCAATGCTAGCTGTTGTCCTCTTCTTTACATGCAAAGTTCTTGTAGTCCCTAATTGTAAGTATAGCATTTTGCAAACACCACAACTAGAAAAACAAGTGCCATTTAATGCAGGAAATGTTGCTGAAAGAGTTAATGAAAATTACTATATAAAGCCACCTGGCAGTCACTACAAATGTGCTTCATCACCCATATGCTTGTGCTTGCCAAAGGTGGTAACATGCTTTTGATAATTAGTACATGGATGGCAATGAGGCAGAGCTCATACAGGTGCTTAATAGAAATATAATTCCTTTTTTTTAATAAATTTCTACATGAGAGGTCCGCTAATATTAAAAAAGACTAGGTAGTTAGGCTGTTCCTTACTCTAGAACTTATACAGGCTCATCCTTTATGAAGTACTATGTAGACCAAATGTCATCAGCTAATGGGACAGTTCATTTAGATAGATTTTTATTTTGCCACATTTTAGAAGCCATAAAAGGAGGAACAGAGGCAATTTTAAATACTAGTGATTCCAACATTATCCTATGGCCAGTGCTAACAAGGGCAACTTTAATCTAGAAACAGACTGAAGTGTCTTCAACTGTGATCAAGAAATACTATTCTGATGAACTTCTCATGTCACAAATGAGTAGTGTATCTGTTCTAGCTCACATCTCTTATATAAGCACAACTATCTTTTTATCTGCAGAATGCCATATTCTGCAGAATTTTGCCTTTTTGTCAATTATGAAACGAAACTGGTTTGTGTTGCTTTGTGGGGTTGGGATTTTTCCCACTTCCATTAAATTCTACAAAATCTTTTCATACATTATGCCATTTATAAAGACCCAAAAGAGTCAAACTCCTGCTGCCACTTATGTACCCATATCTAATTTTCTCATTTTCTTATTCCTGTTGTGCTATGTGCGTCTTAGAGCATTAACTTTGAAAGCTTCATCATAGCAGTAAACCAGAAGGAAGCATTTGGATAGGCCTTCAGATTCTGCATTGGATCAACACGTCATATGGATGGTGGAGAAAAGACTGAAAACTTGGATTTTTGAGGATTGCCCTCAGGAATTACAAGTATTCATAGCTGGATTTGCAGAAATGCAGTGAATGAAAAGTTTACAGTCTTCAAGAATGCAAGTTCTGAAATACATACCATGAAAAAAAGTATTTCTACAGTAGGCCAGTCTGAGTGTTTATACGTGGTGGTACTGATTACAGAAGAAAATGCAGGGAAGGAATCTGCTGGATGAAATCTAGTCTGTCATTTATTAGCCTTTTTGTCATCACCTTTTTCCAACTCCACTGTAATAAATATTCTCTCAAATACTGTTTGAATATGCAGCAGAGATAAGGAAGAAAGGTAATGGAAATCTCAGGTCATAGTCAGGAAACTGGTGCAAAATAAACACATTTGAATTTTTTGAAGATTGGGTAATTTCTTTAACAAACTTTAGCATCAACTTTTTCATATATGTTTTGTCTTGTTTATTTTTACTGATGCATATGCAATGCAAGTTTTGCTAATATTCCTAATGGACTGGCCTACAATAATACCAAAATGTATTTATTTAAACCTAAGTGAAACACAGTTCCACAGCATAAAAAGTGATAACCTTTTATGCATATTTTTTGCAGGTGAGAAACCTAGTAAATATAACTTCATTGTAAAACCTGGATGACCAGATAGTAGGAGTAAGCAGTAGGACAGTAGGTGTTCCTACTGTCAAAGTGTATTTCAACATTATCTTGAAGTGTCACAGGCTCTGAGGTTTCTACCAGCTCAGCTGTTTGATGAGAAGGCTTAATCTGAGAAGATTTTCTTCTTTTCAATTTGAATGCCTGTTATATTAATCACATCTGATTACTATTCTTATATATTTGTAGTATGTGGATGAGGTTTTCAAAAGAGCCTTAGATGTTTGGACACCTTCGTCCCACTGAAGTGTAAACAGAGTCGCACGCCTTAGGACAGCTAATATACACTTCTGAGACCTAAAAGGAAGAGGAACTCGAGTAGTCCTGAAAAAAAAAGGAAAAAACAGTAATTCTTCGTGGATCTCAGTGTTTCCACTGTGTGTCAAGGTTCATCCACAAACTGAAGCATATGGCTGGGTCTCAAGGTGACTCAATATCTGCCCCAGCAATCCTTGCTGATTCACTTCCTTCCGCAGATGTGCTGTTGTATTGCCTAGCAGCTCACCACCAGCATAGTCCTGCCACTGTCTGGTACAGCATGCTTACAGGAGGTACATCTGAGCTGCTTGCAAGCCACGTGCAACTCCAGAGCTGTGAGTTGCCTGTTTGGGTCCTGGATCACCTAAAAAAACATGAAATAAGTCAAATTCCAGCTCTGCCTGGGTTCTCTGACACTGGATTATCATGTTGTCATTTATGAATATCCTTAATGTCAGTTCCCCAGCTAGCTTTTCATATGGACAATAGATAATATTGTATCTGAGTCCCCACAAACTGCTGTGCCTCTAGTCTTTCTGTTCTTTATAAAGCTGTGTTGTGGTTAAATGATGTGGATGAATTTATTCCCAGAGGGATGAGCAGAAATTGGAGTTTTGCAACATCATAAAAACATCATCGCTGATCTGTCTACTCTACCAAAATATGAAAGGTTATCTGCTCAAGGGTAAAATAAAGAAAACAAAAGCATGGTGCTGTTATCATTCTTGTCACAGCTCATTTGCAGTCTACTGTAATCTGCATTGGAAAATTACAGATGCTCCTTGATTATTTTTTTTTTTTTTATATAATGTCTCTTCCTGCTCAGATAAGAATGCAGTTTCATTAGTGATTCATTAGTCTTTTGGTTAAGACTTTCACTGCTCTTATTCTTCACATGTCAATTCTTCCTTATTACCCTGTTTTTTTAATTAGGGGGACCAGGAGCTGGGAACTGGTTTGGTTAGTAATGGTAGTTGTAAATAGTTATGTAAAATCAGTGTCCAGAGGCTTTTTCCCAATTACATAGAACATAACATGCTTCTGACCTTTGTACAGTTTCCCAGTAAATCAATCCCTTAAAGGAAGAAAATAGGCCTCTCTCTGGCTCCCCTACTCCAAGGACAAGTCCGACTTTAGCCTCAGTGGTTTTCACACCGGCTCTTTCAGCTAGTCCAAAAGAGATGTTTACCACTTGGGGAGAGAAAATCCAGAAATATGGAATAAATTATTACAGCAACATAGTACAGACTGCACAGTTTTAAATAATCTAGTTGACTATAGTATTTTAAGTTCCCTACACTAGAACAAAAAAGCCCTTTTTTCCATAAGGATCTTGGAGACAAAAAAATCTGGGATACCACTTTTCTCACAGTGACTGGCTGATGAGATCTTACCTAACAACTGATATCCCAGCTCTAAACTGAGCTCAGACTCTTTAGCCTAGAGAAGGCTCAGGGGGGTTCTTATCAATGTATCTAAATATCTGCAGGGAAGGTGTAAAAAGCATGGAGCCACACTCTTTTCAGTGGTGCTCAGTGACAGGACAAAACACAGTGGGCAAAACTGAAACACAAGAAGTTCCTCTTAAACACCAGGAAGCAATTTTTCACTACGAGAAATGACTGAGCACTGACACAGATTGCTCAGTGAGGCAGTGGAGTCTCCACCTTCGAAGGTACTTTAAAGCTGTCTTGACACAGTCTTAGGCAACCATCTCCAGGCGATTCTGCTTGAGCAGGGATGTTCAAACAGGTGACCTCCAGAGATCCCTCCTAACCTAAACCATTCTTTATTTCAAGGTCAAGCCATCCTGCTCATAGTCCACAGCCTGCAATGTCTCCAAACTATCTCCATTAATGCTCAGGTTGCACTACTAGCAGGAAGACCTGACTCTTCCCAGAAAGGAAATGGATCTTTCCAGTCTGAGTGAGCTCAATGGGCTGGCCTATAACTGTTTATTTTTTCATAAAAACTTGCAGAATTTTCCTTTATCTATGCAGCTATTACCAAAGTTTAGGTTCTATTGAACTTGGCAATTTGTAGACACTAATTAATTTTATCTTACAATTAAACAACAGCTTTATACAAAGGGTGGTACAGAGCAGATACAATTAGCTGGGGGTGGGGTGGGGTGTCTATCCTCCAGATGTTTAGAGATCATTGTGCCATTCAAAAAATGTGCAATAATGTTCAACTATTCAGCTTGGTGTAGCTTCCCGTCATTGTTATGTATCTGCCTACAAGTTCTACCAAAAGGATTCAAAGCCTCATCTCTTACATGCTTCAGGTAAGGCAAACCTCATTTTGGTTTACCCTTTCTAAATTAGAGGCTTACGTTGGTATGGGTGACTACTTACAAGTTGAGTCAGGACAAAATTTTAGTGAAATTAGGTCTTATAATATGAGCTTGCTATCACTGAAAATAAAAATTCTGGCTGATGGAAGAGAGGGATGCAATAAAAAAAAAATGGTCTTTTTCAGTATCTTTGTGATATGGCTTAAGAAACTGTGTTCTTGATAGTGTCTCCCCTTCCTTCAATCCTGGCTGTGTGAGGGAACATCAGGGCATATGATTTTTATGATTGCTTGAGCACCTTTGTTGTTTTAGGAAGTTTCTTCTTTTTTATTTTTTTTTTCAATGTGTCACATAAGTCTGTGGAAATTTACAGTTGAAATGGAATTAAGTTTGAATGTCTAGGCAACTATCAGTCATGCTGCGCAGTTCTGGGCAAAGATTCAAAGGTTTCCCAGAAAGACAAATGATTACAATGGAATGATATCTATGCTCTTAAAAATTCTCATCTCTCAGAACTGAGATTCAAACAGCTGGTTTGGTTGAGGGTTTTGTTGGGGGTTATTTTCAGAGATAAACTGATATACACGTTTTAAGCTAGCACTAAGCAGGTAGAGATGATCTCTGATACCTCTGAGGTCAATGCATGTTGTAAAAGCCACTGAAAGGCTGTCACTGTTGTTGGAGAAAATAGCAGTAATATGGCTTTCAGAAACTATGCATACTGGAATAGGACAAGAAAAGATGAAAACTATTTTAAAATCTTCAATGCTGTACAAGGTTTCAAAGTATTATTGTATTCTAAAGTTGCTGATGTTAATATATGTGCAGATATGGTTTCCAAACCTTTTTATTCCTGTTTTGAGCTAAGATACCTTTATTTTTAAGGGAAGCTGTAGAAGAAGACATTCCCATTAAAAAATTGATAGATCCATACTCTCTGGGACTAGGTGGTGGACCTGCCTCTTGGGACAAAAGCAGTGCAGTCTAAGTTAGAGAGGCTTTGAGGGTTTTTTTCATTTTTATGATAATATGTAACTTGTTTCTTCCCTACTACTAACTTAAACTTACTGGAACAGAAGATTTAGTTCTTGAGTAACATAAGTTTCCAAAATCTCTAAATTAAAACAAGACCATGCTTACCAAAGTAAGCTATAACAGGTGAAAACAAAGGGAGAGAAAATAATAAAAAAGAATATGTGGAGAAGGAGAAAAGCCTGTGGAGTTTGTTACTCTTTCCTAAGAAGCCTGCTATTCAAACTTGACCAGGTTCATACATTTCTTTCAAATTTGACCACGTTCATACATTTCATTTTGATGAGGCCTTTAAAAACCATAAATTAATCAGTCCATATTTAGTCAGTGATTATGGAAAGGCTTCAGACAGCCATGTATCTGAGTGAATGGAAAGGCCCAATGCATAAAGTCAGGATTGTACAAATCTGCCACCAGAGGCAAAACTGAAGACACAGATGTGTGAGGTGTCCCTGCCCATGGCAGGGGGGTTGGAACTAGATGATCTTAAGGTCCTTTCCAACCCTAACTGTTCTATGATTCTATGTGGAAACAGAACAAGGAGGCACACAGTAAGCATAGGGTCAAAAAGAAAGAAGTGGAGGCAAGCAGACATCCAGTGAGGAAGCATTTGCCCAGCTGGCTATGATAAATAAAGAATGTGTAATTGAGGGAACTTTCAATATAATTAAGAATTAGGATTAACCTGGTTTAAATAGCTACTGATCAAAAAGTCATGATTGTACCATAATTGCTATTAATCTATAAGGAATTCTATTACACGTTGGATTTCCAAGGCACTTTTTTAAAAGCATTTAAGTTCTCCTCCAGATTAATGTTGTTAATTCCTTCTCCTGGTATTCTTTTGGATCCACACATTGGTTAGAACATTATCCTCATACTAAAGGTGACCTACTCCTCAAACAGATAAAGAGGGGTGCTTTCCAAACGCAAATTTAAATCAATAAGCTTTGGGTTAAAATCTATAAATACTAATTTTATTATGTATAGTGCAGAAAAATATTATCCCAGACAGCAAATGGGGTGAATGACTGCTTGATGTACTGGAACTATAATAGACAGTGCCTAGCAGCTTGGTTTTACATGATTTTGCAAAGCACAATGCAAAGTTATGGGCTTCAAAATAAGAGAGAATTGCTCCTTAATAAGCAATGAATGTAAGTCAAGACTCTACTTGAACATAACCAGTTTGAGTGTACCCAAAATAATACTTGCCGTGGTTTAAACCCTAGCCAGACAGCTTGTTCACTCACTCCCAGTGAGTGAGTGAAGGGGCTCTCCCCTTCCCCGCTCCTGGAGGAACGGGGAGGAGGATTGAAAGAGTGCAACTCCTACGGGTTGAGACAAGAACAGTCCAGCAACCAATGTACAACACAAATCACCACTGCTACTACCAACGACAACAATGATAAGGGAAAATAACAAGGGAAGAGAATACAATACCACCGGCCAAGAAACAAGTCCCACCCGGAAGCCCGCGTCCTTCCAGGTAACTCCCAGTTACCCCCCACCCCGGGCATGACGTGCTGTGGTATGGAATACCTCCCTGGCTAGCCCGGGTCAGGTGCCCCGTCTCTGCTTCCTCATGGCTTCCCCTCCTCCCTGGCAGAGCATGAGCCTCGCAAAGTCCTTGGTCAGGGTAAACATCACTTAGCAACAACTGAAAACATCGACTTCACCAACACTGTTCCCAGGCTGGAAGTCAAAACACAGCACTGCACCAGCTACCACAAAGGAGAAACATGACTGCTACTGTTGAACCCAGGACATTATCCACCCCTTATTCCATACCATTCACATCATGCTCAGTTCCCACATTTTCAATAGACCATCGCTCTCCCACATATATACATCCATATACACACAGACCAAGAGAAAAACATCATTTTCTTAGTGCATGGACCAATCCCTATAACGCTGCCGAGTCCACTCAGTCCATGATGTCAGGTTCCATCTCTTGTAACAGTCTTTCACGGCAGGAAAAGCTGTGTGCAGTATTGGATCGTTGCCGGCTGATGCTGGTCGTTCCTTTACTGTGGAACTCATCCGGTTCTATCAAAGTTCATTCTCTGTTGGGATGATGGTTGGAGGGAAGTCAGGGCTAGTTGCTGGTGACCTGGAGACATCTAGTTGATGAGCTATAAAAGTATTACACAGCAGTCAACAGCATACAATTAAGTTCATTGGCTGTTTTCCCCTAAAATCAAATCCCCTTGAGGTATACATCAGACTTCCCCATCTTCCCGCATTACCCACCAAGTATATCCACGTCCCTGAGCAAAAGCAATCCCACAAGTGAGTTTGCCTTTACCTGAGGCAGAAATAACCCAGACTGTCTTCCCCAGCAAATTCTTCATATGCACCATGGGAACTTTGTCCC